TACTTTTACCCTAAATGTTAAATTTTTCTACTTTATCCACAAGGATTGATTCTACTTTAAATTCGTATTATTTGACTAGTATTTCTACATCTGTACGCCATATCACACTTACTGTATCTTTTACCCATCTTAAATGAGTGAGATAATTCTTTCGTACCGTAAATGGGTTCTAAGTACTTCTAATGGTGGAGATTACAATCGTAAGCGTCCTTTTAAGAGTAATTGCAACAATTACTACACTAATTGGAAATGATATTGCTGTTTATATTAAAAAAACCTAGATTCCTACAAATGTATCGAACTAATTATTCAATTAGTGAGAATATATAGGCATATCACTTATCTCTGCCTGTTTCTTCCCTAACTATGTGAAGCTACTATTTGAAAAACCTTCATAACAACAAAACGTATTGTTTCAAGCCTTTTTAAGCCAGCGATCGATAAAAGATGATTTAGTATAGTAATCTACGATTAAATACTTTATAGTTCGATTGAATTTAGAAACGTCGAGAAAATTTTCACTATTCCGGATTCTATACTGTATAGTAATTTATTAATAGCTGGAATATTATTATATTTTCTCCATAAGATTAGTATCGGTACTTTCAGTGTTTACTATGCTTAAATAATCGTAAGAATTTCGTATCAAGAGAGACGGTGCGATGATACATATTCTTAATTCTATATACTGTCAAGTTGACTGCATCGGAATTAATAAAATTAATTCGTAATAGAGGAGGGAATTGATTGCTAATAGATAAAAAAGTGATTTAATATATACTTCGTATAATTTTTGCCTTTCAGCAGAGCTTTACAAATTTTAATTAGGAGTTTTTCATAGAACTAGTGGTGGATAAAATAGGCAGATCATATCTAATATTTTGAGGACTAATTGTTAGACCGGATACAATGCCTTAGAAGTGCAATAGTTATGAGTACTAATCGGCGACAGCGCACTATGGATCTGCATATTTCTTTAATGTATCAGCATCCCAATAACATTTTATTCTGAATCTCTCAGTCTGTGATAGCAGTCTTACCATCTGTCGTGGTAAAGTGAGTTCAATGTTCATTTACGGTAATTTAGTACTTTAAGAGAGTTTGCAGTTATTACAATTCTTAATATGCTTATGTTCCTCGCGTACAAGTAAAGATGCGATGC